GAAGAGCGTTGCCAGCAGGTCGAGGAAGCGATCCTTCCTCTCTGTTCCACACCGGTGAGGACACGTCTGAGGACTATGTCCAGTGCTGGGCTCCCCAGTACCACAGGGACATACTGGAAGGGGTCCAGCAAAGGTGGTGAAGGAACTGGAGCATCTGACAGATGAGGAGAGGTTGAGAGAGCTAGGACTGCTTAGCCTGGACATGGGAAGGCCAAGCAGGGGGGATTTTATAACGCGTAAATATCCAAGAGTTACGATGATGGAGCCAGACTCTGCTTAATGGTATCCACTCACAGGACAAGAGATGACAGGCACAAACCAAAATAAAGGAGTTTCCATTTAACTATTAAAAAAACCCCAACCCACAACATTTTTATTGTAAGTGTGGGCAAGCACTGGAAGAGGTTGCCCATCGAGGTTGCAGAGTCTCCAGTCTTGGAAATATTCAGAACACAACTGGACGTGGTCCTGAGCAGCCCGCTCTAGTTTACCTTACTTTGAGCAAGGTAGGGTTGGGACTAGACCATCTCCAGCGGAAACCTCAACCACTCCACAAGTTCTCGCCAACACCTCGCTCACATTTTCTCAGGTGATGAATCCTGTAGGGAAAACAGAGCTGCCACCACTTTTAGGGCAAGGAGGTGCTACTCCCAGACTGAAAAAGTTCCAAAGTGCTCTGGAGACTCACGGCAGGGAAGCAGCTGCCATCCATCCTCTGCCCAAACTTCAGTTCCACCCAAAGCCATGTGAGCAGAGGCCATTTCTGGATCCAAGACGCCATGTCCTCTCCTCAGGACAACCCAACTGACAACAGGCTAGCTCTTCCCAAGAGTGGAAGCAGCAGCTCCCTGCTAACAGTAGAGAGGTGGGGGGAAATCAAATCCATAAATTTAAGGGGAAATGATGTACCAGTGCCCTCTGCTGCTGACAGTTTTTATTCCCTGACTGAACAAACCCCCGAGGGCTCGGAAAGCCCACTCTCTGCTTCAGATGCTTGCTGCTAAGTAGTAATAGCATTGCTCAACTCTAGGTTTGTGTCTGTGCCAGCAGATCAAGAGCAGAAAGCATCTGAAAAACTGCAGCACTCACAGCCACGCTACAGGCTCACACGGCACCGAGAGGCAGGCGGAAGGGATCCACGCTCAGCTTGCTGCATACAGGCAGCACGCGACCGCAGGCTCTCGCTGCACAACCCCTCCTGCGCAGCCCACACTCCCTGCAGCAACTCCCCCCTCCTCAGAGACCCCCCCGAATATTTTCTTGTTCAAGGACTCACCTTGCACCTGGGCACTCAGCTTCTCCAGGTCCTGCTCCGTCATGTGGGAAAATCTGCAGTTGGACCCAAAATCACACTGTCCTGGAACAAAAGTCACGTTGCTCCATGAGAGCCGCACGCGCAAGCTCCTCCCTTGTAAATGCGCACACAACCCAAGATCCACTACACCTGCACACCGGACACACAGGCCCAAGTCCTTCGCTCCCTCCAAGACAAACGCGCATCCCAGGGCTCTGCAGAACAGCCTTGGGCTGGCTCACGAAGGAGCTGCCAGAGCTCAGGCAGCTATTTCTACCTCAGAAGAACTCACCTGTTTGCAGAAACTTCCGACAAGGTTTCTTGGTTTGCTCCTCTTGCAGGATAGCGGCAGCATCTTGGGGAAACAAAGGACAAACCAAGGTAAAGATCTCTTGCGCAGCAACACCCCATCGTATCGTGGCCCCAAACAGGTCAGTTACCTAGCGGGAAACCATTTCACACGACAACCAGGAACTTAAACCACAGACAAATCGAGAGTTTTCAGTCCCTGTTGGCACCCCTGGCTTCAGCTTTTCACTGGCTTGCAAATATCACCTCCTCTGTTTTCTGCGTCATGGGTTTTTTTCTCCCCATGCCAGTAGGGGAGAAGAAGCATGACAGAAAAGCAAGGACTCTGCAGCACTTCTGTGCGGCAGAGAAAGACCAGGCAGACTCACAGAGCTCTCGGAAAAGCTCCGTGCGATGCCGCACAGAACCCTGTGCCGAGTCTCCGGTGGACACCACCGAAATGGTCCTTCACCTCCTGGAGACGTCCTGGGGAACCAATGAGCCCCAAAGATACAGCAGCTCCCGTAGACTGTGGAAGAACCAGCACTGCCTGATGCCAAGTCACAGAGTCTGGAGACAAGAGGAGATGAACCCCCTAATCAGGGACGGGATGAAGAATTTTATCAGTTGGAGGGAAATCAAGGGTTGCAGCCTGGTGAGGAGAAAAGTGCTAGGTAATCTGCCTCACCATCACTGACCCAGCGAGAACTGGGCTGCGGCTGGTGGTCCTTTCCAGCTTCCACGTACGGTTAAGCAGACAGCAGAGCCACCCAGAGCTCCGCAGGGTATTCCTCACCTAGCTAGCCCAAGACACAGCCTGCAACTCCTGATCCTGAGGAACCAGGGGGAAGCAGAGGAACATACGGGCAATGGTTTCACAGTCAGTTTAACCCAAACTAAGTCTTTGCTCCTACCAAAATACACAGTCCTGCTCTCAGCACCCTGGACACACATTCCCACCATACTCCTCGGGCTGGTGCTGGTATTAAAACACATGTAACTGCACGGCGAGCCAGGTCAGAGCGCTGAGCTGGGTGAGAAGAGTCGTTCAACAGGCAGAGGACACAGGGCTTGCCTCCAGCACATCCTGACACAGCCCCCAGCCCCAGAACTCCAATCCCTCCCCTGCCAAAGCCCTGGTGCATCTAGCCCTCCCCTCTGCTCCACGCCCTTGGCTAAGACAGGTTTGAGCATACCGTGCTTTGAGCCGCTTCCCCAACCCTCACCCTTTGGGATCTCCAGTCAAGCAGCCGCACCCTCAGCCTCTCCCACGGCCGCCCTCAGAACCGACACCTCCACCCCGCACGGAGAACCGCGGCCAGCTTCCCGCCCGCGCACACAACACGTGCGTACAGCCTGCCTTCCAGCCTGCTTTCTCCTTCTACACCCATACACACCTTGCTCCTTGCGCATCAGAGGTCAACTCTGGTTTGCAGAAGGCACCTAACTTACCTTCAGAAACTGTGACTCAGTTTGTTCTCTTGGATCTCCTGTCTCAGATTTGCCCACGATGCCAAGAGAGCTTTATCTGCAACTCCTGTTCGCAGAAATGACCTCCCTATCTCTTCCACCTCATCTCAAGTTGCAGCTGACGTCTACACTTTCCCCTTCCCACATCCAGACACATGAGGGTTTTGCCTCTGAGACCGCTTGACAGCAACATACCGAGTCCACAATTTACCGGCACAGACAATCTGAACATAAATCATCAGTGCTGATTTATTTTCTCTATTCCCCCCTGCCACAGCTCATCCATCCCCTCCCCAGTCCCAGAAAGGGAGTAGGAGTCAGTCGGTGGTACCCACCTCGGAATAAGTCATACCAGACTCTCTTAGCCCTGAGATGCTGCACTCCGTTGAGGTGTTTCTTCCTGTTGTGAAGGTTGTCCTGAAAGGACCTGTCACAGTAGTCACAGAAGTATCTTTTCCCCATCTCTCTTCTGGCAGAGCAGCATCAGCACAGCCTGGGAACCATCAGACAGATCCTCGGCGCCCAGCCATGCCTGCCCTGGGGACGGGGAAGCACGGGCCGAAGGATCCAAGATTTACAGCGCCTGCTTCTAAAGGAGAAGAGCTCAAATCATTTGGGGTTGGCAGACAGAGAAAGAGGTGAGACCCAATAGTATATATTCTTGTCCATCAGAGACTGGCAAGGCAGCGCCTCCTGCGTATACGTGGGAGAGCAGGCTCGGATCTCCCTTTCTTACCTCTGTTGCCCAAAGGAACAACAGCTCTGCCGAAAAAATTCTCCTTCCCCGAGCGCCCTGGAGTTCAGACCACACAAAACAGAGACCCTAGAGAGCCAACGGCTCCCAGCCACCACCTGCACCAGGGAAGGTGCAGCAGAAACCATCCAATGTTCAAAGAGAAGGAACTCGAGGTCCATACCACAGCTTCCACCTGGGGCCCCAGGACTTTAACCCCAGACCACAGGCAACCACCACACGCTGCCAGGCAAGAGGGAGGAAATTCCCCCATGTCCATCTCTACGAGGTAAGGAAGAAACTCAGGAACTCCTGAAAGATGCTAAACCAGCTGATCTCACCTGTACTGCGAGTAGGAAGCTGCACAACCAACACTAAAGGACGTAACATTTCGTTCGGTTCACCTATTCACTCCTGTCCATCAAGGACTGCTCTCCTCATCCTCCCCAGCCTATGGCAGCAAGATGTGTCCGCTTCCCCAAGTACCGCACCGGCAGTAACTACGATCACAACAGCCTTACAACCAGGAGGAAAGAACCCCCAACCCCACAGCCACTGAAAACAACCCGGAGATGCTCGGTCCTTCTCCTCCCACAGGGTAGAGGGGCTTTATCAAAATGTGTTTGTGGTCCGGAGACTCTGCAGTGAGTATCGAGGGGTAACAGGACAGAATTTGGGTGCTCTTGTCTCTGCTGGGCCTGGAGCAGCTCAGATGGGGTTTGTGATGAAGCGCAGCCCCGTCCCCAGCTGCTGTCCTGGCTGGAGGTGCAACAGACACCCTGAAAGAGCTACAAGTTCTCTCCTGAGTGATATAAAGGTACCTGATAAATGCCAAAGATGGATGGACCGGGAGATAAATTCCAAAAGCAATTCTCCAGTTTTTGACACCTTGACAGCCAAATGCATTTAAAAAATGGCATGGAGACCAGCACAAGAGATAAAGATTTTATAAATAAAACAGGGTCAGAATCAATCACAGCCTCCCTAACGATTCCTCAGAATCAGCGGGAAGAGCAGCAGCAACAGGCAATCCCTCAGAGCCCAGCACGCTGAGCTAAGGCAGTTCTGCCAAACCTCCTGCCAGCCAGCCGTCCCGGCCTTCCCCCACTCCCGAGAACCGCCGCTTCAAAATCAAGTCCCTGGAAATCTCTGGGGCCTCACACCACGAGTTAAGACACAAGTTAAGATGCAGCCTCCTCCATCTGCCTCTGGTTACATTCAGTGGAAAGATCTTCTGATTATTTTTTTTTAATCAGCTTGCAAATATTCACGCTGAAGGTAAAACGTTCAGAGATGCAACTGAATTTGAAATCTCTTCATTTTAAGGTCCTTTCCTTGATCTTCAGATGAAATACCTCATCGGTGGGCCGTGCTGCAAACGCAATCGGACCTGGCTCCAGCTCGGAAGGCGTTAACTCCGATCTGGAGGGCTTGAGGTCTGAAACTGTCCTACTCCAGCCCAAGAAACCAAATTCAAGTGCTGCTTAATGAACATTAAAGCGTAATTTTCTCCCCTGGTTTTACCAGATCATCCCAGAGTTTTGCAGCCAGCTTTGCTGCACTGTGGTGGGGCTGCTGGAATCCAGAGGGAAGGCTCTTACCCTCAGCCTCTGGCCTGCTGGCAGACTGCTGTGGCTTTTAAGCATTGAAAAATCCCCCTTCTGCATCTTATGCCACAGTCTCCCAAAGTTTCTGGCAACATAAAAGCTTCCTGCTTCAAGCTGCTGGCTCCTGCACTCCATCTCTGCAGAAGCGTCTGCTGTGAACAGGGAAAACAAATGAGATTCTGCAGTGGTCCCACACAAGTTTCCACAGATCTCAACGGAATTGTGCCTGCAGAAGCCCAGCAGCAGCCAGCCTTTGAAATCGTATTTCAAACTTTTCCTTTCATCACCCCGACGGCAATAATTGCGGCAGCTCGTTTCCCCTTCCGTCCCCAACAACGAGGGCAGAAAGCTTCTACAGATTTCAGGCTGCCAGATCCCAAACCCCAGAGGTGCCAGCTCCCAAATTCACCTAGCAATTCCCACTGCAGAGGATGAATGGAATTAAAAAAAAAGGCAATTAGAGGAGCATCAGATTCTCCCAGAGACAGCCCCCCTCCGAAGATTACACTGAACACTTATTTCCATCTTTTTAAGAATTCAATTGCATGGATTATCTTGGCTGGATTCTGACAACCCTCTGCAGTATCAGCAATCCACAGCGCTTTGTGCTGAACTAGTACGTAGGAATAAAAGCCGCTTCCGAGCAACGCTGGCTAACCTATTTCCATTTTCCCAAATGGCTCAACCAGTAAACAAAGAGCATTATTTAGTTGAAAACAGAGATGTTTTCTAATTAAATCCATCTTAGTCATTATGAAATAAAGTAAATGTAGCTGCTTTATAAAGAACCGCTTCAGCTCGGCCATTTCCTCTTAACATTTCTAGACCCTAATTTGCAATTGAATTCAGGCAAACAGACCCCTGAACCCGCAGGCAGCCACAAATGATTTCAGACGAGCTTTGTACCAGCTTAAAAGTCTTTCTGCATAAATCCAAATTGAAAAAAATAAAATAAAAAGAAAAATAATCCAGGGCTTTGTCTTCTATCTCGATGCTTAAAAGTATTAACAAATAAATCCTCTGTTGTAAGCCTCTCGGAGCAACGTTTTATAAGAAAGAGCATGTTCTAAGACACCTAGCAGGTGTTTCGCTCATCGAGCTGAGGTGCTTGGTAAAACTCCAGGCAAGACCTCACGCGCACCATCCTACATTTTCCCTTCTCAAACGGCTGCCAAAACACTTCCACACTGCGCTCGACTAGCTACAGATTTTATTTAGGACTCTCCGGGGGTTCTTTCACCGTCTTCCCCAAAATGTGGAGGGAGGGAAGAAGGTGACCCAGAAACGGGCACACGGCAGACTTGTTTTCGTCTGGGCGTAACTGCTTTTCCCCACGCCGAACCCTGAGAATTGCTGCTGGGGCTTGACCTCAATTTTCTGCTTTCTTATAGCCCAGGCTCGGGGCCATTTCAGCCACTTTGGGTATCCAGATAGATGCGAAGTTAATTAAATCCAAGTGTCAAGCTTATGATACTCAGCTGCCAATTTAAACGTGCTCCTATCTCTATGGGAACACGCAAAACACCGGCAGAGTCTGCCAGCACCTTCGCAATGACACAGGGACAGACTCTGATTTCCATTACGCCCGACGTAAATCTGCCGCTCGATTTGGGATTAACACCGACCTGACCATTACACAAACCCATCCTAGCGGTAGTGGTTTACAGGCTATTGGGGAGATTTGTCTTAGAGACAATCCCTAGCAGTTAACTTTGAAAAACGATCATTGAGCTTTTCAAAGGGATAACGCCATACGCAGGGCACGGGAGTGTGTTGGGCACCTTCCAGGCTCTGCACGGGCTTTGCCCTACCCCAGAGATCCCACAGATCTCCACAGTAGCTGCAAGCAGGGAACTGAACATAAATAAATTAAGAGAAATGACTACGC